GTGATTCTATGATTCTAAGATTATCAACTTAAAACATGATGCCACTACAGCCAACCCCAAAACCTTCTCTTGGCTTCTAGCTCTCAATCAATTGAGGGGGGAGGGGGAAAGCATAGGAAAGCACATAGTCTTCCTTCCACATATGGCATATATTTAAATGATCTGCCTGTTAAAGACATCTGTAGTCCTTAGAAATTGCCACAGAGTAGACAATTCACAGCCATGCTACTTAAAGGCTCCCCCCAGTTTGTTTTTTGAAGGTGCAATGGGCTGCTGCTTCTCGTGTTGCAGATACACCAAGTTTACACCAGGTCTGAATTCAGGCCACCATTTAAAAAGACTAAAGCTCATGAGAAATCGATGAAAAAGGGTCAGAGGCTTAACTTTCTACCTGCAGAGTGCAAAAGAAGGATATCTCAGAGCTGAGGCAACTCTTGGCCTCTTTCCTTTCAGTGAGCTAGAGTGAGGAGGGTGAATCAGTTCATGAAGGAAATAGTCACCAGACTCCTTACCTTTTTCTCTGGTAGACATTTTCTCAGCTTCTGGAATCAGGAAATCATAAACCAGCTCTGCCACAATCTCTTCTGACTGTAGGTGAGTTCGACTACAGGACAGATGCAGAGTGGTATTAGTATTTTAATTTTCTTTCCAGGTCACCTCTGCGAACACAGGACTCCCCCATAAATGCAGGCACTATTTTCAAGGGAATGCATGTCACGCCGGGAATTGTCAGCTGGGTCTCTATCCTACAACTAGGTGAGAGTGTGACTACTCCCTCTTGCACTGCACTGCCAATGTGTTTGATACTTCACTGGAAAGCAGTATTTCCAGGGAGAAGATTACCCTAGACTCCTTATCTTCAGAGGTATTTAGGAGCCCAGTTCTCAGTGACGACCAACTGGGTTAGACACACAGATACCTCTGAGGATTCATGTCTTTGTCAATTTAGTCTTTGGCCCGTTGCTGAGTTTGCTGAATTCCTCCCTTTTGTGCCTCTGCAATTGGCTGGGCCCCGTGCCCTTTTCCATGCCAGTGTCTGGTGGGTTCCCCATTGGCCCCGGGGCTGCACGCATTATCTACGCTTCATTCTCCCCAAGGATTCCGACGTTCTGGTTGTATTCATCTCATTACAAAATACCCAGCTGCTGTACCATAGGAGAGTCACTGCGTCGGGGGGGTTTCTGGCTCAGGCCCAAGAAAAAGAGCATAGAAACTGAACTGGCGGTTTGGCAGGTCCTAAAAAGTATTCACTGCTGATGCCCCAGCCAAACACAAGGCTGGTGTTCTCCACAACTTACTCTACTGCAAGTGCCTTGCCAGGCAGCCATCAGTATGACTGACCCCCATGGAAACTGGCAGTTTCTTAAGAAACAGCCACCCTAGAATGAAAGACCGCTGTGTAGCTGTATCTTTCAGCATCTCTTTCAAACCCATTTTCTGTAGTAGCGTAAATAAATGAAAAGACCGGTATGAATGGGTATTGCTTTAGGCAGTTCCCAGATTCACTTAAAGCTCAGTCACAGCATCGCATTGGCATGGAGGAGCCATGATTCCCAGATCCCACAAGTGATTTGCGAAGGGAATCTGTATAGAAATGAGGCTCTGGTGGATTTATACGTGTGTACCAGGTAGTAACAGTGTGGTTCCCACACAGCAGTGACACTAACGAAGCGATCACGAACAGTATCGCTCTGCCCTTCCCATGCCTTAGGTCACACACGTGACCAGGGATGCAGATGGTCAGGCAGGTTCCAAACTGCTGTACACAGCCTCTAACGTGCCGTTCAGTAACGTACCGCCTTTCCATCTCGTAAGCGATGTCATTGATTTCCACAGCCATTCTCTGAACCTCTTCCCTGGCTTGTTCTGCGGCTGTGTCCTCCACGCTACTCAGGATCACGTCTTCCAGGTAGGAGTCGACAGTGCTCTGGTGCACTCTCACCACCTGGAACGAAACGCCAAGGTGTTGCTCCTCTGCCTATTGCTGTGCCAGGAGCGTGGTGGAAGCGGATTTCCAAAGAAGCAAGGACAATCACCAGACTCTTCATTTCAGGCAGGCCAGGCTGAGATTGGGGTTCAGAGGTGCTTTCTGGGAAGAATAACTTGTGTGAAAACGTGTTTTCTGATACTTCTTTCTGAGAACTAATTGAACAGAAACAAGTGCAGGAAAGAACCGTCGGCGGAAGAAACACTTCACAGATCCACTTCTGCAGGAGCAGGTTAGTTCTGTGAATGCAATGGCAGTTGTTTCCTCAGTTCTCATGGTCCCCCAAGCAACAGCTGCCAAATAATAATTATATCAGCACTGACTTCAGCCAATTAAACAGTTTTCGTTCATGCAAATTCTGAAGGAAAAGGTTCCGTCAAGCCAATCAAAGTAACACGAATAAAACCAAGATAAAATGACTGGTTTCCCAATATGGTTGTAGAGCAGAGATTCTAGAAACGGGCAGAAATCCTTCTGCCAGTCTGAAGGGGATAGCTGATGGCACCTTGACCTTCCTCGCTTCCCACTCAGAGATGCAGAACAGATAAGAGGAGAAGCTAAAAGGAGAAGAAAAATAAACCTGATGCCAGACTCTCTTGGTATTAACCTCCTCCCACAAAGTTTGAAAATTACTGGTTTAGTCCCACTCATTCCTTTCAACTGGGAGAAAAATGCTTCCTGAAGTTAGCAGCTGTGGAATAGGAGTGGAGACTACTTATGGAATATGGTAATTCAGGATTTTTGTTTCTGAATTTCAAGGCCATGTTATCCATCATCATTACTTCAAAATAGTTTTTGTACTCCTTGTTATTTGCAGTCCATGTTTTGGGGAAAAAATCTTTCCAAAACCTTGCTTAAAGGCGTTCTTCCTGGGAAAGCACCTAATAGTTCTGCTGGACAGGCCCAGTGCTGACAAAACATTATTCCTGAAGGTGACCTAGGGACATCTGTTCTCCATGGGTGTCTGCTGTGGAAATTTCGAAACCTACATCCATTCATGATATGCCCAACACGACTGTCTATAGGGGTATTCCGATCACCCTTAATTTGACAGGCAGGACTCCTTTGGGAAGTAATCACCCTCTCTTCACTAAGCCTTCCCCCCTCATTTTAAAACTACCCATCACTGTAGTCAGAGCTGTAGCATCTTCCTTCCATCTGGACCTTCCCATAAGGAAGCATTTCCTACAAACCGCCCACAGTCCCACCAGCTCCCTTGCCTGTTTGAAAATCTCATCTTCTTCCTGACGCTGCCTCTCTTCCACCTGACGACGTCCGCTCTCCTCCGCTTCCCGCATCCGCCTTTGCCTCTCAGCCAGCATGACAAAAGCGTGGATCTTCCGTTCTTCTTGCAGCCTCACCAGCTCTTTGGACAGGAAATCAAATAGGTTCGCCAGTACCCTTCCTTCTTCCCTGGCCAACTGGCTTTCCACCAAAGACAGCTTTCAAAAAAGAAATCCAAAGGATTGTGTTACAAACCCCAGGAATGTTGTTCCAAGTCCCAGGACTACCGCAGGCATGTGAAACACCTCTGCAACATCCACTCAAACCAGCCATGGGACAGCCCTAGGAGTTTCGCGTTCTTCTTCTGTTACAGGCACTGGCCTGGCGCAATGTTCCTTGTGCATGGGCTCTGAGGGCAGAAAGAGGCTGAAATATGGCAAAACCAGTCAAAGCAGGCATAGTCCTGATACTGTCACGCTAGGACAAGCAGCCCCTATGCTTGGGTGGGTGGGTGGGAGGAGATAAAACACTAGACATGCTGTATTCCAGGTATTATGAACCGCTTTTGTGGCTGTGAGTAGAAGCAGAATAGCTGCTTGTAAAAGGGCAGGGGTCCACTGCCCCCACCGCGACAGGGGGGGGGGGAAAGAAAAAGCGGAAA